GAGGCTGGGGAAATGTTGCAGCCTTCACATCTACGAAGCCTTGGTGAATGCTTGGAAAGGGTCCTAGTCTTTTTCAACAGGCATACTGAGATGAGTCAGTTCTGCAGTCCACAGGGACTTTGTCTTTTTTACCTTGAGAACCCAAGGAGCCATTCTATGAAGAAAAGAGATCTGGTAGCTTTATTTGGAGCCCATGCCTTGCGAGGGTAAGGAGGACCGAGCGAGGCAACGGAAGCCTGTAGACTGAGGGAACAGATTGAACTGAGAGTGATAGAACGTGATTCCTCCTTTGGAAATGTCAGCATGGGAGGCAGCATTCCCTTGGAATAAAAAGAGTTAACCATGATCAAATCCCTGCACATTCTCTTTTCTGCATACTTCTCTCTTTTTTTCTTCTCTGCCTAATTCTTGTTTCTTAAAAAAATGTTTTTCTTATTTTTATTCCTAACTCACCGCTTCGCTCCCTTTTTGAGTGGGGAAAAGGACAGGGTCTTACCCTGTTGCCCAGGTTTGGAGTGCAGTGGCGCAATCATGTCTCAACCCCCTGGGCTCAAGCGAGCCTCCCTTTTCAGCCTCCCAAGCAGCTGGGACTACAGGTGTGCACCACCATGCTCAGATAATTTTTGTATTTTTCACAGAGACGGGGTTTCGCCATGTTGCCCAGGTTGGTCTTGAATTCCTGGGCTCAAGCGATCCACCCACCTCAACCTCGCAAAATTGTGGGATTACAGGCATGAGCCACTGTGCCTGGCTGTCTCTACATCTCTTATACTTCATTTACGCATTTCTTCCTTCCAGGAATATGTATTAGGGGACTGTTGTGTGCTAAGCACTGCACTGAGAAACGAGGATACACAGATGAAAGGCAGATACTCTCTGCCTCCCAGGAGCTCATGGTTTCTTATGGGACCACGAATGAATGATATAAGGACATTATATCATTTGTAGCACCCTACAAGCATCCAAAAGTGTTTAGAGGCCAGATATGGTGGCTCACGCCTGTAATCCCAGCACTTTGGGACGCCAAGGCAGGCAGATCACTTGAGGTCATGAGACCAGCCTGGCCAACATGGCGAAACCCCATCTCTATTAAAATACAAAAATTAGTTGGGCATAGTGGGGGATGTCTGTAATCCCGGGTACTCAGGAGGCTGAGGCAGGAGAATCGCTTGAACCCTGGAGGTGGAGGTTGCAGTCAGCTGCGATTGTGCCACTGCACTCCAGTCTGAGTGACAGAGCAAGACTCTGTCTCAAAAAAAAAGGTGTTTTGATTTGAAAAAATTCCTAAGAGTGAGAATCTGATTTACCTGGTTTATGCCAGGCTCCATAGAGCTTGCTGGACACTCTACGGCTCAGGGCCCATTCATTCAAGGAGATGTGGCTGGTGAAGGGACATGGACTGTGGACGGGTCACCCTTCCCAGCTCTAACTTGCCCTGTGTACTTACTCCACCAGTGTCTTCGGGTTTTTCAGGGCACTTGTGCTATCTCCCTAGGCAGAGCATGAGTTAATAGGGACTGCCGTGGTCTGCACATAGGAAGTGTTCAATGGACAATGTGAACACACTCAACGGTTTCTTTACATGGAGTTGGGCTCATGGTGGGCAAAAGCGAGAATCACAGCCTTTCTCCTAAAGAAAGCACAGCCAGTGACCAGAGCATTCCAGGAGGTAGAGAACACTGGTCACAGGTCATGTCACATGAATGCTAACACTCTTGGTGTCATCTTTAAAGGTAAAGGTGGCTGGAAGCCGTGGCTCATGCTTGTAATCCCATCACTTTGGGAGGCTGAGGTGGATGGATCACTTGAGGCCAGGAGTTCGAGACCAGACTGACCAATATGGTGAAACCCTGTCTCTACTAAAAATATAAAAATTAGCCAGGTGTAATGGTGGGTGCTTGTAATCCTAGCTACTAGGGTGGCTGAGGCAGGAGAATCACTTGAACCCAGGAGACAGAGGTTGCAGTGAGCTGAGATCGAACCATTGTACTCCAGCCTGAGCGACAGAGTGAGACTCTGTTTCAAAAACTTAAAAAATAAGGTAAAGGTCAAGGAAGATTATGAACCACAGGAATGTCACAGGTGAGAAATAGAAAGCTAGTGTCATTTTTAATTCTTGTGAATGGAAATAAAAATTGAGCGTTGAAAATGGGATTATAGACCTGGGCAAGAGACTCCTTTTTCAAGAGCCAAGCTCTTTTTATTCAATAACTCTCTTCACATGCTCAATAATTCCTATTCATACACAAAATTTGTAGCAGAAGTTATGATTCAACAGAGTGCTAGTGACTCCAGATGGAGTGTTAGGGTAAAATAGAATTCATATGCGGTATCATTTAAATAGGCATTTTCATCAGGGATGATACTGACACTTGATGTCAATGATAGGCTATTAGAAGTAGTTGATGACGGGGTGTGGTGGCTCATGCCTGTCATCCCAGCACTCTGGGAGGCTGAGGCGGGTGGATTACCTGAGGTCAGGAGTTTGAGACCAGCCTGACCAACATAGCAAAACCCTGTCTCTACGAAAGATACAAAAATTAGCCGGGCATAGTGGTGAACATCTGTAGCCCCAGCTACTCGGGAGGCTGAGTCAGGAGAATCGCTTGAACCCGGGAAGCAGAGGTTGCCGTGAGCTGAGATCACACCACTGCACTCCAGCCTGGTGACAGAGCGAGGCTGCACCTCAAAATAAAGAAGTAGTTGACGACAGAACTGCTGCTCAGATGGGTCTCCACCCCATCGTTCGTATTTTATCACTGTTCTTCCGAGTCTCTTCTTTGGCTTGAAAGAACTTCTGCTGAACTTCAATGGATTCAAAATCCAAGTTCAAACAGAATAACTAGATGGCTTGAAGAAGCCCCTGAATAATTGTCCTGCAGTGGGAGGGCAGAAGGCACCCATCCTCAGGGCCGCACCAGGAGCCTCCCATGCACCCTGGAAGTCTGGTAGTTTAGGGTCCCTTCTGCAGAGGGCCTTGAGAGAGAGAAGTCTAGAGAAATGCGGTCTGCATCAGTGTGACAACAGGCACAGGGAAAGCCACAGAAGGGATGGGGCTCAATGTCTGCTAGTGTGATGCCCCCCTCTTTACTCCCGCTCCTTTTGTGATGAACAAAGCACTACTGTGTTCAGAAAACCTCGCTTTTTCACTGCCAGCTACGCACACCCCCCAAACCCTTAATGGGACACTACATTATGACCCCAACCTATTTTATTGTTGTTGTCGCAGGGTCTCGCGTTGTTGCTCAGGCTGGAGTGCTGTGGCATGATCACAGCTCACTGCAGCCTCTACCTCCCAGGCTCAAGCAATCCTCCCACCTCAGCTTCCGGAGTAGCTGAGACCACAGGCACACCACACTGTGCCTAGCTAATTGTTTTGTACAGAAGAGGTTTCACCATGTTGCCCAGGCTGGTCTCAAACTCCTGGCCTCCTCAAGCTATCAACCCACCTTGGCCTCCTAAAGTGCCAGGGTTACAGGTGTGAGCCACTGCACCCGGCCCCCCAAACTATTTTTCCAACATTGCCTTCTCCTGTTTCCTGCTGTGCCACACCAGATTCTCATGAACCACTGCAGCATCCTTGGCTCTGTCTGAAATGTCACTGACACTGCAGTGCCCCCATCCATCCTGACCATGCTTACATGCCCATCCCCTTCCCACAACCCCAAGGTGAAGCTGGGTGAAGTTCCCCCAGGTGTCACTGCGGCGCTGTGTTTATGCTTCTGACCTCAGTTTTTTATTGTCCTCAGTTTGTCTCCTCCGTTGGACCTCAGGCACTTTCAGGACAGGATCTTCTGTCACTCATTCATCTTCACATCCTAACACACACTAAAATGCTCATTGTAGGTGCTCAGATAGGTTTTTTTTTTTTTTTTTTTTTTTTTTTTTGAGATGGTGTCTTGCTCTGTCGCCCAGGCTGGAGTGTAGTGGCATGATCTCGGCTCACTGCAACCTCAGCCTCCTCAGTTCAAGTGATTCTCCTGCCTCAGCCTTGCAAGTAGCTGGGATTACAGGCATGTGCCACCATGCCCATCTATATTTTGTATTGTTTTTGCTTTTGAGATGGAGTTTTGCTCTTGTTGCCCAGGCTGGAGTGCAGTGGCACAATTGCGGTTTGCTGCAACCTCCGCCTCCCTGGTTCAAGCGATTCTCCTGCCTCAGCCTCCCAAATTTGGGATTACAGGCATGTACCACCACTCCTGGCTAGTTTTATATGTATATATATTTTAAGTAAAGATGTGGTTTTACCATGTTGGTCAGGCTGGTCTCAAACTCCTGATCTCAGGTGATCCACCTGCCTTGGCCTCCCAAAGTGCTGGGATTATAGGCATGAGCCACTGCACCCAGCCTTAATTTTTGTATTTTTTATAGAGGCAGGGTTTCACCATGTTGGCCAGGCTGGTCTTGAACTCCTGGTCTCAGGTGATCTACCTACCTCGGCCTCCCAAAGTTCTGGGATTACAGGCGTGAGCCACCCTGCCTGGCCTCAGCTATGTTTTTCGAAGGAAGGATACTCACGGAGACAATTGTCTTTTAAATATTTGATATGCTCTTGCGCTAGCTATGGATAGCTCTTCATGTGTTAGTCCTGATAACAGGTTTCTAATGTCACCATTTTAGTTCGCTGAGCAGCAAAGCAAAAATAACATTAATCTGTGTTATTTGACAACTGATGTACAATAAGGAATGAATATCTTAAGTATCAGGGAGACTCCTGGTGAGAAAGTTGACAAAGTGAATTCACACTCCCTTTTCAAGCAGTTGAAAGGGAGGGGTAGTTTTCCAAGATGAAGACGTAGGTTTGAGTATCTCTCTTTGCCTGAATTTGCTTTTATGTAAAAATAGAGGATTTGATTCTATCTATTCCCCTTTAACTCTAAAATTATATTATTCCAGCAGTTTTACTTAACAAGAGTTGACTATTACACAAATGATTTTGTGCAAACGTTAGCAATAAACACATTTTTAAAACGCTGCTTTTACTCATGCTCCCAGGCATGCTCTAGAGTTCTTCTGACTTCTAATCATGGAAGTGCAAATACATTGAGTGATCACTTCCACAACAGTCCTGTTCCTTTAAGAGATCACGGTTGTTAAGTTAGGAGATTATTGAACCATATGAGAGTCAATAAAAGGATAAAAAGTCACTGGTTAGCGAATCGAGGACAAGGAACTTGGTCCCAGTTCAGTATCTGTGGATCCGTATGCTGCCCGCAGTCAGAGAGAGAGTCCCAGGTCCGTGGCAGCTTGCTTTTCCTCGGGATGGCTTCTGGAAGGCTCATTAAGTTTGTGGTTTTTGAGCTCCTGGAGTTTGCTGCTTTCTCTGTCCCTACACTTGTGATCACGGAACAGTTTGCCACCGCCTACCAAGGAACAAGGGCCAGATCCGAGAACACACACTACTGGCTGATCGTCTCCTGTTCTATTGCTTATGTTGCGCTGGTGACTCTACTGATATGGGTTCCTGTAAAAATTGTCCTGCATAAGAAACGTTATCTTTACAAAAAGATCAAAGGATGGTAAGTAAAAGAGTTTTCTTTTTCAATATGGAATCTTGCTCCGTTGCCCAGGCTGGAGTGCAACCTTGGCTCACTGTGACCTTCGCCTTCCAGGTTCAAGTGATTCTCCTGCCTCAGCCTCCAGAATAGCTGGGATTACAGTTGCACGCCACCATGCCTGGCTAATTTTTGTATATTTAGTAGAGATGGGTTTTCACCATGTTGGCCAGGCTGGTCTTGAACTCCTGACCTCAAGTGATCCATCTGCCTCAGCCTCCCAAAGTGCTGGGATTACAGAAGTCAGCTACTGCACCTGGCCCATAAAAGAATTTTTTAGCACAGAATCCCCATGATGCTTTCAAAGATACATTTGTTTCTTGTTTGTTTTTGTTGAGATGGAGTCTCGCTCTGTCACCCAGGCTGGAGTGCAGTGGCCCAGTCTTGGCTCACTGCAACCCCTGTCTCCAGGGTTTAAGTGATTCTCCTGTCTCAGCCTCCTGAGTAGCTGGGATTACAGGCATGAGCCACCATGCCTGGCTAATCTTTGTATTTTTAGTAAACTGGTCTTGAACTCCTGACTTCATGATCTGCCTGCCTTGGCCTCCCCAAGTGCTGGGATTATAGGTGTGAGCCACCGTGCCCGGTTTTAACTTTTAAGTCAAGTGGTACAAGCACAGGTTTGTTACATAGGTTAACTTATGTCATGGGGGTTTGTTGTACAGACTAACAGGGTTGAACCACCACACCCAGCTAATTTTTGTAGTTTTAGTAGAGACAGAGTTTCCATGTTGGCCAGCCTGGTCTTGAACTCCTGACCTCAAATAATCCACCCTCCTCTGCCTCCCAAATTGTTAGGATTACAGGAGTGAGCCACCGTGCCTGGCCTGTAAAAGGGTTCTTTAGCAGGGAATCCCAGTGATGCTTTCAGATACATTTGTTTGTTGTTTGTTTTAACTTTTAAATTTGGAGGTACAAGCCCAGGTTTGTTACAAAGGTTAACTTGTGTCATGGGGGTTTGATGTACAGATTATTTCATCACCCAGGTATTAAGGACATCCATGTCCCTGCAAAGGACAGGATCTCATTCTTTTTCATGGTTGCATAGTATTCTATGGAGTATATACATACCACATTTTCTTTATCCAGTCTATCACTGATGGACATTTAGGTTGATTTCATGTCTTTGCTACTGTGAATAGTACTTCAACGAACATACAGATGCATGTGTCTGTGTAATAGAATGATTTCTATTCCTTTGGGTATACACCCAGTATTGGGATTGCTGGGTCAAATGGTATTTCTGTCTTTAGGTCTTTAAGAATCACCACACTGTCTTCCCCAATGGCTAAACTAATTTAGACTCCTATTAACAGTGTATAAGCATTCCTGAAAGAATGTGGCTCTGTTGCCCAGGCTGGAGTGCAGTGGTATGATCATTGCTCACTGCAGCCTTGACCTCCCCAGTGGGCTCAGGTGATCCTCCCACCTCGGCCTCCTGAGTAGCTGGGACTACAGGTGTGCACCACCATACCCAGCTAATTTGTTTGTGTTTTGTAAAGATGAAGTTCTGCCGTGTTGCTCAGGCTGGTCTCAAACGATCCACCCGTCTTGGCCTCCCAAAGTGCTGAGATTAGAGGTGTGAGCCACCAAAGCTGGCCTACATAGACTTTAAAATTATTTATTTCACTATGTTGGTAAATTCTATTACCCTTGTAGGAGAGGAAAGTACTTTGAAAACAATACAGAGATATTTTAAATAAACCAGTGTTTAGTGTTGATGTAACTAGCAGCTTAGCTAATGGCTCTACTGATCCACATAAAGACATCAAGAACAGAGAGTCTCTGACGTCGATTTATTTTTCCTTTCAGAGCTTCACATCTGATTCTTACTCATCTGGGACCTCTCTTTTCTTTGATAAGTTAATTTTTATTGCATACTGATGTTTTATTTTATTTTATTTATTTGAGACAGAGTTTCACTATTGTTCAGGCTGGAGAGTGGTAGCGCGACCTTGGCTCACTGCAACCTTCGCCTCCCAGGTTTAAGTGATTCTACTGCCTCAGCCTCCCAAATAGCTAGGATTACAGGCACCTACACCACTCCCAGCTAATATATATATATATATATTTTTTGTATTTTTAGTAGAGACAGGGTTTTACCATGTTGGCCAGGTTGGGCTTAAACTCCTGACCTCAGGTGATCTGCCTGCCTCAGTCTCCCAAAGCATTGGGATTACGGGTGTGAGCCACTGCCCAGCCGATGTTTTATTTTGGAAGTGAACAACATGGATCACATGTGAACAGTGAGTTACTGGGAACTTGCACACACACACCAGCAGAAATGTACAAATAACGGACACTGCACTAGAGCTAGAAATACCATTACTGCGGTTGGGAGGATGCTGAAGGTGAGCTGACATGTGAAATTCATGATGCCCTCTTTAGTTACTGATGCTGGATGTGGCCCCTCCTGCAAACCTCACCGGGAGACTTTTATTTCCCTGGGAGCAGGGGTCTTAAGGGATTTCTGGAAATAAAGCATTTTGTTGTTGGCACTCTTTCTATCAGTAGGGTTTAGAGGCTTCCCAGACCTTAACCAGGGCCCCAGTGTCACCTAAGGGGTAGCTGGGAGCCGGACTGGGCCCTGCACCTCTCACACCCTGTAGGAGTGGCTTTGGCCATCTGAGACTCCTGGCTGGGTTGGGATTTTGAGGGAATGGTGGAAGGTTTAAATAACAACAGAAATAAACCAATGGAAAACTGGCCCATCACTGCCCAGGAAAAAGCTCTTGGGTTTTTCGTGTTTTGTTTTTTTGTGTTCACATTAATTCAAATCCCTGGGACTAGATTCTGAATGTCATTTAGGCAGCAAACCTTCCCATATAACTTACTGTTACTATTATTAGGCTATTGTAATTCATTCTTCACAGATCCTTGATTATATGCCATGTAAGTACTGATCTGAGGTGGTACAGAAATATGTACTTCCTAGGCTGGGTGCAGTGGCTCACACCTGTAATCCCAATGCTTTGGGAGGCCAAGCTGGGAGGACTGATTCAAGCCCGGAGTTAGAGACCAGCCAGGGCAACATAGTGAGACCTCATCTCTACAAAACATTACAAAATCAGCAGGGTGTGGTGGTGCGTGCCTGTAGTCCCAGCTATTCAAGAGGATGGCTTGAGCCCAGGAGTTTGAGCCTGCAGTGATCTATGATTGCACCACTGCACTACAGCCTGAGTGACAGAGTGAGACCCTGTCTCTGAAAAACAAAAAGAGAGAGAAATATCTACTTCACCTCATAAAGTAGATTTTTTTTTTTTTTTTTTTTTTTTGAGAAGGAGTCTAGCCCTGTCACCCAGGCTGGAGCGCAGTGGAGTGATCTTGGCTCACTGTAACCTCTGTCCCCAGGTTCAAACAATTTTCTTGCCTCAGTTTTCTGAGTAGCTGGGATTGCAGATGTGCACAACCACACCCACCTGATTTTTGTATTTTTAATAGAGATGGGTTTTTGCCATCTTGGTCAGGCTGGCCTCGAACTCCTGATCCGCCCACCTCGGCCTCCCAAAGTGCTGGGATTACAGGCATAAACCACTATGCCTGGCCTAAAGTGGAATTTTTATAAGTTTATCGTTATTACTCCCAAGATAAAACTGCTGATTAGAGAGGTTCAACAATTCTCCCCAAGTCAGTGAACTAGACAGAGTGGAAGAGCCAGACTTTGGACCTAAGTCTGACTCTGTAGTGGGTAGCTCTAGCCACTCTCCTAAACTGCCTCTTTGAAGGACAAGGTCGCAATCTCCTGGGGCAATTGAGATGAAGGCTTTCGTTTCTGGCCTTAGTGCATGCGGTATACCAGTAACCTTTGGTGTCTGCTCAGATTTTGTTTTGTACATCTGGCCCAGGCGCCTCCCCTGTGCTGAAGGGTTTTGGGTTATCATAGCTACATCTCTCAGTGATTTCTTTTGGGAAATAGACTTCCCAGTCTTTAGTTTCTGTTTGCGGGTGTGGCTGGCCACAAGTGTTTTAAATAGACAGTGAACAAGTTATCTGTAATTTCAGTGAAACTGAAACTGTTTCTTCCTGGCCAATTTCATGAGCATTATCATATAGTTATCTTTTACTGGCATAGAAGAGAAGCAATGGCTACTGAGAACTGTCTGAGGAGCTTTACACCTTCCTTACTACTGAATATAAGCTTTACAACTCAGTAAAGTGTAGATGCTAGTGTTCTCATTTTATGGACAAAGAAACTGAAACTTAAAGTAATTAACTTTGTCAACTGATAAAGCTGGCAAGTGGAGCCAGGCATGGTAGCTCACACCTGTGATCCTAAGACTTTGAGAGGCTGAGGTGGGAGGGTCGCCTGAGAGCATGAGTTCAAGACCAGCAGAGGCGACATAGTGAGACCCTGTCTCTACAAAAAAAATTAAAAAATTAGCCAGGCATGTTGATATGTGCCTGTAGTCTCAGCTACTCTGGGAGCCAAAGGGCGAGGATCATTTAAGCCCTGGAGATCAAAGCTGCAGTGTGTTGTGATCAGGCCACTGTACTCTAGCCTGGTTGACAGAACAAAACCCTGTCTCAAAAAAAAGAAAAGGAAAGAAAAAAAAGCTAGGTAATGGGGGAGCTAGGATTTGTGAGCCTGGGTCCGTCTGATTCCATGCAAATTCCTCTGTGGCATGCAAGTTTCTTTTCCTTTTTTCTTTCTGACTTTGAATGCCAAGTATGTTTCAAGAAAAATACAATGCATTTTGTTTGTTGTTTTTTGGTTCTTTTTTGGGATGGAGTCTCGCTCTGTCGCCCAGGCTGGAGTGCAGTGGCACGATCTCAGCTCACTGCAACCTTTGCCTCCGGGGTTCAAGGCATCTCAGGCTCCCAAGTAGCTGGATTGCAGGCTTGCACCACCATGCTCTGCTAATTTTTGCATTTTTAGTAGAGACAGAGTTTCTCTATGTTGGCCAGGCTGGTCTCCAACTCCAGACCTCAAGTGATCCACCCATCTTGGTCTCCCAAAATGCTGG